GGTGTGTGTCACCCGCTGAACACGGGTGTGTGTCACCCGCCGAGCAGGGGTGTGTGTCACCCGCCGAGCGCTGCCGCGCATCACTCGCCGAGCACGGTGTGTGTCACCCGCCGAGCACAGGTGTGTGTCACCTGCTGAGCGCCGCTGTGCATTCCCCGTGCCCGTGTCACCACATCCCCCGTGCCCGTGTCACCCGCACGTCCCCCGTGTCACCCGCGCGTCCCGCGGCGGGGCCGTACCCGGCTCCTGCACCACGTAGGAGACGCCGCAGGAGCCGTCCTTGCGGTCCTCGAAGGCGATCTCGGCCTTGCTGGGCCCCTCCACGGCGATGGCGAGGCCGCCGGCGCCCGCCTCCCGCGTCCAGATGCTGAACTCGGCTGGGGGGCACCGCGTCGGTCGGGGGGCTGCCCTGAGGGGGACCCCGGGGCACCCCGGGAGGAGCTCGGGGCCCCTGATGGCTTCTGGTGGCCCCAACTCAATTTGGGGAGCCCCGGGGGGGTTTGGGGGCACCCTAAGCACCGCTGGGTGCCCTGGGTAGGATCTAGCAGCCCCCAAGGGCACTCTGGGGAGCCACACATGGGTTTGGGGCGTCCTAAGCACCATTGGGTGCCCTGGGGGGCTTCTAGCAGCCCCCAAAAATGCTCCAGGGAGCCCAGGGAGCCCCCTGACCCGTCCTGGCGCCCTGAGGAGCTCTGGGTGCCTCTGGTGGGTCCCCAGCCCATCCCGGCACCCTGGGGTGCCCCGTCCCCCTTTCACCTCGGACGCCCATCTGAGCACCCCAGGGTGCCCCGTCCCTGCTCCCCTCTCATGTGGGACACCCATCCCGGCACCCCGGGGCACCCTGTCCCTGCTCCCCTCTCACGTGGGACACCCGTCCCGGCACCCCGGGGCGCCCCGTCCCCTCTCACCTGGGATGCCCGCCTCGGCGCGCTCGAGGCCGGGGCCGCCGGCGCGCACCTTGTGGGCGCCGCCCTCGCCCAGCGGCCCCACGGTGAACTGGAAGGGGCTGCCGGGCACGTGCTGCCCGCGGTCCTTCACGCTGACCGAGTGCACGCCCGTCTCGCTGGGCACGAAGCGGATGCAGTAGGTGCCACCCTCGCCCTCCAGCACCTGCGCGGCCACCGCCTGCCCCGACGGGCCCGTCACCAGCGCCGACAGCTCGTGCGTGCTCAGCTCTGCGGGCGGCGCCGTCAGCGGGGACCCCGCACACCCGCCGTGCGCCCACCGGGCCCCACAGGCCCCCATGCACCCGCGGGGCCCCATGGGACCCCCATGCACCCGCGGGGCCCTGGTGGGACCCCCTGTGCACCTACAGAGCCCCACAGCACCCCATGCACCCGCGGGGCTCTGGTGGGACCTCCTGTGCACCCATGGGGCCCTGTGGGACCTCCCGTGCACCCACAGGGCCCCACGGGACCCCCATGCACCCGTGGGGCCCCGTGGGACCTCCTGTGCACCTACAGGGCCCCACAGCACCCCATGCACCCGTGGGGCCCCATGGGACCCCCATGCACCCGCGGGGCCCTGGTGGGACCTCCCGTGCGCCCACCGGGCCCCACAGCACCCCATGCACCCGCGGGGCTCTGGTGGGACCTCCCGTGCACCCATAGGGCCCTGGTGGGACCTCCCGTGCACCCACAGGGCCCCATGGGACCCCCATGCACCCGTGAGGCCCCGTGGGACCTACTGTGCACCTAGAGGGCCCCACAGCACCCCATGCACCCGTGGGACCCCCTGTGCGCCCATGGGGCCCCGTGGGACCCCCTGTGTGCCACTGAGGGTCCCCACGGGCAGCAGCCCCATCCCAGGGGCCGCCGAGGGTCCTCACAGGCGCTCCAGAGCCCCCAAGATGCTCCAGGAACCTCCCGAGACCCCCTAGGACCCTCTGGGCCACCCCAAGACAAACCCGGGGCCCCCTGAGATCCTCTGGGAGCCTCCCGAGACCCCTCTGGGACCTCGGGGCCCTCAGGAAGCACCCGAGACCCCCGCCAGGGTCGCCCCTCCCGAGACGCCCCAGGAAGCGTCTGAGACCCCACGGGCAGCTCTGGGCCCCCGGCCCCGTCGCGGGGGCACTCGCGGCGCCCCCGGCCGCTCACCCGGCATCTTGAGGCTGAGGTCGCAGGCGGTGCCCACGCCGGCCTCGGCGGGCGCCCGGCGCCGCCGCGTGATGCTCTCCTTGACGCGGCCCTCGCCCGTCACCTTCACCGAGAAGGGGCTTCCTGCGGGGCCCCGGCGCGCGCGGAGAGTCAGGGCGCCCCCCGGGGCCCCCAAACCTCTGCGGGGTTCCCAAAGGGGCACCCGCCGCCCCCAGGCCCCCCTGGGGCCTTCCCGCTCCCTCCTGGATCCCTCCACCCCTCCTGGGTCTCCTTGGTCCCTCGGGATCCCCCAGGTCCTTCCTGGATCCCTCCCGGGTCCCTCCTGGCCCCCCTGGATCCCTCCCAATCCGCCCAGGTCCCTCCCAGTCCCATCTGGATCTCTCCCAGTCCCATCTGGATCCCTCCCAGTCCCCCTGTATCCCTCCCAATCCCCCCCCGGATCCCTCCCAGTCCCCCCCGGGTCCCTCCCAGTCCCCCCCGGGTCCCCCCCAGTCCCCCAGTCCCCCCGCGGCGCACCCGGCACGTGCTGCTCCCCGAACTTGACGGAGATGATGTAGTTGCCGGGCTCCGTGGGGCAGTAGGAGACGCGGCAGGTGCCGTCGTCCAGCTCCTCTGTGCTGATGTCCACCTTGCTGGGCCCCTCGATGGACAGGCTGAGCCCCCCGTACCCTGCCACGGGGCCCGGGCGTCGGGGGGAGCCCCCACCGGCCCCCAGTGGATGTCGGGGGGCTCCCGCCCCGCCCGGCACCCCCAGGGGCCCAGGCCTCTGTGGCAGCCCCCCAATGAACCCTAATGGATGTTGGGGGGCTTCCACTCAGCCCAGCACCCCCAGGGCCCAGGTGTCCGAGAGGGCCCCCGCTGAACCCTAGCGGATGTTGGGGGGCCCCCCTCGTCCCAGCACCCCCAGGGACCAGGTGTCCGAGAGGGCCCCCGCTGAACCCTAGCGGATGTTGGGGGGCTCCTGCTCTGCCCAATACCCCTAGGGACCCCTGCAGGAGCCCAGGCATCCAGGGATGCTCCCCAATGAACCCTAATGGATGTTGGGGGGCTCCCCTTGGCCCAGCACCCCGGGGCCCAGGCCTCTGTGGCAGCCCCCCGCTGAACCCTAATGGATGTTGGGGGGCTCCCCTTGGCCCAGCACCCCAGGGTCCAGGTCTCTGTGGCAGCCCCCCAATGAACCCTAATGGATGTTGGGGGGCTCCCCTTGGCCCAGCACCCCGGGGCCCAGGTGTCCGAGAGGGCCCCCGCTGAACCCTAGCGGATGTTGGGGGGCTCCCCTCGGCCCAGCACCCCCAGGGACCCTCCCCAGGGGCCCAGACCTCTGTGGCAGCCCCCCAATGAACCCTAATGGATATTGGGGGGCTTCCACTCAGCCCAGCACCCCCAGGGCCCAGGTGTCCGAGAGGGCCCCCACTGAACCCTAACGGATGTTGGGGGGCCCCGCTCGGCCCAGCACCCCCAGGGACCCCTGCAGGAGCCCAGGCATCCAGGAGTGCTCCCCACTGAACCCTAGTGGATGTTGGGGGGCCCCGCTCGGCCCAGCGCCCCCGGGCGCAGGCGCGCGGCCGTACCGGCGTCGCGTGTGTCGATGGTGAAGGCGGCCGGCTCGAAGGTGCGGCCCTCGCGCAGGCCGGGCCCGGCCACGCGCACGCGGCTCGCGTCGCCCAGCTCCGCCTGGCTGATGGTGACGGCCACGGGGCTGCGCGCGAGGGGCTTCCCGCCCCGCGCGATGTGCACCAGGTGCTTGCCCACCTCCTGCGGCACGAACGAGATGCCTGTGGGGACACACACACACATGGACGTGCGCCTGTTGGCACCGCCGCCGCCGCCGCCCGTGCCGCGCCGCACCGATGTGGCCGTCGCGCAGCCGCTTGAGCTGGCAGGGCTCCTGGCGGCCCGAGGGCGCCGTCACCGTGGCCGTCAGCTGGCTCAGGTCGGTCTCGCCGATGTCCAGCGGGATGTCGGCCGAGGCGCCCACCTTGAGGTGGGACAGGCGCAGGCTGTCGTCACCTGCGGGGCGGCACCGCGCGTCAGCGCCGGGGTCCCCGCGCTCCCCCGGCCTCCGGAGCCGGCCAAGGGGCCCCCAAACACCCCCCGGCTCCCTGAAGCTCCTCCAGCTGGTGACACAGGCGGTGAAGGGGCTCCTGGGACGCCTGTAGCCCCTGAAATGCCCCCGAACACCCCTGTACCTGTGATACAGGCGGTGAGGGGGCTCCCGAGACCCCCTAAACACTCCTAATACCTGTGATACAGGCGGTGAAGGGGCCCCCAGGACCCCCCAAACACCCTATTCCTGTGATACAGGCGGTGAAGGGGCCCCCAGGACCCCCCAAACACCCTTGTACCTGTGATACAGGCGGTGAGGGGGCTCCCGAGACCCTCAATCACCCCTATTCCTGTGATACAGGCGGTGAGGGGGCTCCCAGGGCTCCCAGACACCCCCGAACACCCCTGTACCTGTGATACAGGCGGTGAGGGGGCTCCTGAGACCCCCTAAACACTCCTATACCTGTGATACAGGCGGTGAGGGGGCTCCTAGGACCTCCCAAACACCCCGCAACCCATACCGCCCTGAGAAGCGGTACAGGCGTCGCGGGTATGGGTGATACAGGCGGTGAGGGGGCCCCCAGGACCCCCCAAACCCCCCGGTACGGGCGCCGCGGGTACCGGTGATGCGGGCGGTGAAGGGGCTGCCCGCGATGTGCTTGTCGTTGTACTTGACGACGATGCTGTAGTCGCCGGGCAGCACGGGCAGGTAGGAGACGCTGCACGAGCCGTCCTGGTTGTCGGTGCAGCTGAGCTCCGCCTTGGAGGGCCCCTCCACGGCCAGCGAGAGCCCCCCTGCGGCGGCGGGCGCGGTCAGGGGGCCCCGGCGTCCGGGCGCACCCCCCCCCGCCCCGCGGAGCCGCGCTCACCCTCGCCCGCGTCCTTGGTGTTCACGGTGAAGGTGGCCGGTTTGTTGACGGTGCCGTGGATGAGGCCGGGGCCGTAGGCGGTGACGTGGCCGCTGTTGACGTAGTCCACGTAGAACTGCAGGGGACTGCCTGCGAGGGGGCGTCAGCGCGTGTCACCCGCCGCGTGTCACCCGGCGCGTGTCACCCGGCGCGCGTCACCCGGCGCGCGTCGCCGCCCGCACCGGGGATGTGCATGCTGTCGTAGCGGATGTCCATCTCGTGCAAGCCGGCCTCGCTGGGCGCGAAGCGCACCGTCACCGTCCCGTCCTTGTTGTCCGTGATGTCCGGCTTGGCCACCTTGCCCGAGGGCATCCGCACCTCCCCTGGGGGCACGGCGGGACGGTGACCCCTGCACCACGCGTCCAGCGCCCGGGGGGCCCCCGGGGGGCCCAGGGACCCCGGCTGCTGTGGGGATCCCTGCGAGGACCTAAGGGGTTGTGAACACCCCCCTGGGAGGACCTGGGGGCCTTGGGAAGGACCCCAAGAGGCTCTGGGAACTCCCTGGGAGGACACGGGGGTCTTTGGGGACCCCCAGTTGTTGTGGGGGGACCTAGGGGGCTGTGAAGACCCCCCTGAGAAGAGGTTGGCTGCTTTAGGGACCCTGTGGGAGGACCTAAGGGGTCGTCAAGATCCCCCTGGGAGGACACGGGGGCCTCTGGGGACCCCTGGCTGTTTTGGGGAGCCCTGGGAGGACCTAGGGGGTCATGAGAACCCTCCTGGGAAGATGTTGGCTGGTTTAGGGACCCTCTGGGAGGACCTGGGGGTCTTTGGGGACCCCTAGGGGCTGTGGGCACCCCCCGGCTGTTGTGGGGACCCCTGGGGGATACGGGGACCCCCTGGGGCTGTGGGTGCCCCCCGAGGGGCCGCGGGCCCCCACTCACCCGTGATGTCGCCCTTCTTGATGGTGAAGGGGATGACGAGGTCGAAGGGCCGCAGCCCGGCCATGTCCAGCCCGTTGACGCCCAGCAGCGGGCGGTCGGTGGCCTGGGGGCGGCGCCGCCTTAGGGGGTGTCCGTCCCGTCCCCCCGTCCCCGTCCCCGCCGTCCCCGCGGCGTCACTCACCATGACCTGGAAGGGGCTGTTGGGCACGTGCTCGCCGCCGAAGCGGATGGTGATGACGTATTTGCCCGGCTCGGGCGCCGTGTAGAAGATGTCGAAGGTGCCGTCGGCGTTTTCCACCACGTCCACGTCGGCCTCGGCGCCGTCGGGCGCGCGCACCGCGCACGTCACCTTGCCCTTGCCCGCCGCCTTGGCGTCCACCGTCACCACCGTCTCCTCGCCCAGGTGGATGGTGGGGCCCAGGCCTGGCCCTGCCCGGGACCGCAGCGAGGGGGGGCTACGCTGGGGGGGCGCCCGGCAACGCCCCCCGGGCGGGAGGGACCCCCCGTGCGCCCCCAAACTGCGGGAACCCCCAGGAGGGGGAGCGCCCGCACGGCACGCGGTAGGAACCACCCAACCGACAGCCTCATGCCAAGCGACGGGGGGACACAGGGACGCCCCCCGCCCCAAACCGCGCGCCCCGCAGCGACCCCACCGGCACCCCAGCCTCCTAATTGGGGCCATTGCGTTCAGCCTCCTAATTGGGGTCATTGCGTTCAATTAAACCTCCTAATTGGGGGGGGGGGTGATTTAAAGGATAACTCCAGGCATCTGCGACGTTT